TATCACTACAAACTGGTGATAGATAAATATGAAATATCTGTGAACTGTGATTTGTTGAGGTATTAGGAATGTTTTTTATTCATAACGTCTTTCCCCATCAGTTTTAGTACTTAGGTTATAGTTGATTTTATTAAGAAAAATCGTCTAATTTTGACATTTTGTGATTTATGCTATATCACTAGAAGTTGGTGATAGATAAATATGAAATACGTGTGAATTATGATTTATTGGTGCATTAGGAACATTTTTTATTCATAACGTCTTCCTCCATCACTTTTGGTACTTCCGTTATAATTAATTCTATAAAGAGAAATGATTTAATTGTGATTTGTTTTTGTGATTTATGGTATATCACTAAAAACCGGTGATAGATAAATATGAAATACTTCTAGATTATGATTTATTGATGTAGTAGGAACATTTTTTATTCATAACGTCTTTCTCCATAAATTATAGTACTATATGTTACAGTACAGTACTTATGTTATAGTTGATTTTATTAAGAAAAATCGTTTAATTTTGACATTTTCTGATTTGTGCTATATCACTAAAAACTGGTGATAGATAAATATAAAATACCTGTGAACTGCGATTTATTGAAGCATTAAGAATGTTTTTTATTCATAACATCTTTCTCCATCACTTTTAATACTTACGTTATAGTTGATTTTATTAAGACAAATCGTCCAATTTTGACATTTTGTGATTTATGCTATATCATTAAAGACCGATAGTAAATAAATACAGATAAAGACAGTAGATTCTATTCTTAACTACGGAATCATTGTTTGGGGAATGAGCTATGATACAACCTTAGATATGTTGAGAGTAGCGTAGAAAACCATTTTAAAGATAATTGATAAGAAACCACGTTTATATCCAACACTCTTCACTTACAATAAGTTCTCCCCTTTTCTCTCAAAAACTATCACAGACACTTAAACATGCAAACCGCAATAAATCACAACCATAACACGAAAAATAAAATCAGCGAAAGACTGTAGGCTCTAAAATCTGTTAACTCAGTTCAAGAAATATTCAGACATTCCAGATAGTGACTTATTTCCTAAGTTTTAAACCTACATTCTTATAAATTGCACCAGCACTCTAGTAACCAACAGATGTTTATTATCTATTGTCTATCATATCCAGATTAATGCGAGTGTTATTAATATATTGTACCTGTTCCCTAAAAATATTAGTTTATAACATCTTTACTTAGAATCCAGATATTTAATTTATTTATTGAAGAAAAAAGTAGTAGAGGTGGTAAAAATATTTAAATTTTAAAGGAGTTTACCTCGCCCTCGCGTCCTCGGATACTTGGCCGTTAAACTGTTATGCGTAAAATTCGATTAGAGCGATCGCGGTATTGGGTTTCTGATGGCTTGGACCTCCCGCCTCGACCTGTCCATATCAAGACAGTGGCCGACACCCATTACGTGATCGTGGACACCTGGTTTCACTTTAAAACCGGCTCAAAAAAATCGTTACCACCGAAATTATTTCAAATCAACTTAGAAAAAATAATTTGCCAACACATTTATAAATCGAATTAAACTTTGTTTATTAAGATTGTTCGTTTTTTCGATCGCGTAGGTAATTAAAGCCCTTTTGGTGCAAGGTAAGCAATACCTTAAAGTGGGGCTTCGAAAGAATCGAGAATCACAAGCGGGTCTCGCGCAACAAGAATGGACCTTAAGTATTCAATGGTCCGTGTTGAGTGTGCGTCACGGTTCGGATCGTCTGTGGGACATAATTTGTTGCCAATTTCCCATATCATATCCATCGGTCAGTCGATCGAGCCGGCAACAAGATACTTGAGGCTACACGATACGCAAAACGACCGGTTAATATCATATTTCCACGCATTTATAACAATTTTCGGATTTTTAACGCTTTTTAATATTATATATTTGGGTTAAAAAATAAAAATGTAAGGTTAAAAACTGTCAAATGACAAAAATAAATATAACTTTTTTTCATAAATATTAAAACGATCTTAATAAGAATCAAAAATGCTTTATTTTGATACCAAATATGATATATTTCAGTTAAAAAATAAAAGAATTAAGTTAGAAACTGTCAAATAGGAAAATTAAATATAACGTTTTTTTGATAAATATTAAAACGATCTTAATAAGAATCAAAAATGCTTTCATTTGACGCCAAACATGATATATTTGAGTTAAAAAATAAAAGAATTAAGTTAGAAACTGTCAAATGTCAAAATTAAATATAACGTTTTTTTGATAAATATTAAAACGATCTTAATAAGAATCAAAAATGCTTTCATTTGATACCAAACATGATATATTTGAGTTAAAAAATAAAAAAGTTAGGTTAGAAACTGCTAAATGTCAAAATTCAATATAACGATTTTTTATAAATATTGAAATAATCTTAATGAGCATCAAAAATGCTTTATTTTGATACCAAATATGATATGTTTGAGTTAAAAAATACTAAAGGTAGGTTAGAAACTGTCAAATGTCAAAATTAAATATAACGATTTTTTGATAAATATTGAAATAATCTTAATAAGAATCAAAAATGCTTAAATTTAATACCAAACATGATATGTTTGGGTTAAAAAATAAAAAAGTTATGTTAGAAACTGTCAAAATTAAATATAAAGATTTTTTGATAAATATTAAAACTATCTTAATAAGAATCAAAAATGCTTTAATTTGATACCAAAGATGATATATTTTGATCAAAAAATAAAAAAGTTAGGTTAAAAACTGTTAAATGTCAAAATTAAATATATCGATTTTTTGATTAATATTAAAATTATCTTAATAAGAATTAAAAATGCTTTCATTTGATACCAAACATGATATATTTTGATTAAAAAATAAAAAAGTTAGGTTAGAAATTGTTATATGTCAAAATTAAACAACGTTTTTTTGATAAATATTAAAACGATCTTAATGAGCATCAAAAATTCTTTATTTTGATACCAAATAAGATATGTTTGAGTTAAAAAATATTAAAGTTAGGTTAGAAACTGTCAAATGTCAAAATTAAATATAACGATTTTTTGATAAATATTGAAATAATCTTAATAAGAATCAAAAATGCTTTCATTTGATACCAAGCACGATATATTTGGGTTAAAAAATAAAAAAGTTAGGTTAGAAACTGTCAAATGTCAAAATTAAATATAACGATTTCTTGATTAATATTAAAATGATCTTTATAAGAATCAAAAATGCTTTCATCTGATACCAAACACGATATATTTGGGTTAAACAAATTTTTACATTAAAAAATAAAAAGTTAGGTTATAAACTGTCAAATGTCAAATGATCGCCATTTTTTTCCTAAAAATTAAGATATCTCGATAACGGTTGGTGATAAATAAGTCGAGTTTGGGTTCATTTTAAAGGATTTTTAATTTTCTATCCATTTGTATTAAAAAAAGAATAACTTTATAAGGCGACTAAAGACTGCTAAACCCGAATGATACTAGTTCTAGGTCTTCTGTTAGTTCTAGTGATATTGCTAGTGTAAAACTAGAACTAACACTAGACGTTCTTATTCCAATATGTTATTAAGCTTAATAAGAATCACAAATGCTTTAATTTGATACCAAACATGATATATTTTGATTAAAAAAAAAGTTAGGTTAGAAACTGTCAAATGTCAAAATTAAATATAACGATTTCTTGATTCATATTAAAATGATCTTAATAAGAATCAAAAATGCTTTCATTTGATACCAAACACGATATATTTGGGTTAAAAAATAAGAATGTTAGGATAGAAACTGTCAAATGTCAAAATTAAATATAATGATATTTTAATAAATTTTGAAATGGTCTTAATAAGAATCAAAAATGTTTTATTTTGATATCAAATATGATATGTTTGAGTTAAAAAATAAAAAAGTTAGGTTAGAAGCTGTCAAATGTCAAAATTAAACATAACGTTTTTTTGATAAATATTAAAACGATCTTAATAAGAATCAAAAATGCTTTCATGTGACACCAAACACGATTATGTTTACATTAAGAAATAAAAAGTTAGGTTATAAACTGTCAAATGTCAAATGATCGCCATTTTTTTTGCTAAAAATTAAGATATCTCGATAACGGTTGAAGATAAATAGGTTGAGTTTGGGTTCATTTTAAAGGATTTTTAATTTTCTATCCATTTATATTAAAAAAAGAACAATTTTATAAGACGGCTAAAGACTGCTAAACCCGAATATTCTAGTTCTAGGTCTTCTGTTGGTGCTAGTGTAAAACTAGAACTAACAGTAGACCTAAAGTTTCGGTTATTATCATATTTGCACGCATTTATAACAATTTTCGGAGTTTTAACGCAAAATTTTGTTCTAATACCGTTTTAATCGAAGAATTGTGCGTGTCATTCGCCTCCGCACTGGTTTTCGTTTTACAAAGAGAACCAATTAAAAAAAAATCGGCTCGGTAATAAGCTACCGAGTGTGATGGGGTGTAAAGGGGGGAACTCCCCATTTCGACAAATTAAAGGACACCCACTGGGCGCGATTCTCGACCGTCCGGGGCTCTAAATAGATTCGTTTACAATTGACATCGGCCCGAAACGGCTCGCGACGTGTTTAGTCATTCTTGAGCACAAAACCCCCAACGGAGGACGGTGACTACGCTCGTTCTCTCGATTTCGACACCATTTAATCGAGACTTGAAGAGAACTGGGATCCTTGCTGAGAAGACTTCAAAACGAAACGAAATCTCCTCGATGCACGTGTGATTACAATATTAATTATAAAAAAAGATTAAATTGAACATTAAATGTTTATCTTTCTTTTTTATTTTATGTAGGCGCGTTTTTATGCGTTACTTTCTTATTAATGTGCGAGTTAAAATATGTTTAAAATCCTTATTTATTACGTTTTAGCAACACATTTTTATTTAAGTAAGTACATTTTTGTTAAATCGATTTAAAAATATCTAAAAAAATTTTTAGCTTTTCAATGGAAACTAATAAAAGATGAATCGAACACTAGAATCATGCAAGGTGAGCAATCCAAGGAAGGAATGTTTCCTTATATGGCGAGTTTAATGCAACTTAGACAACATTTATGTGGAGTATCGATCATAGGGCAGTTTTGGGCATTATCTGCCGCTCATTGTGTGTACGATATAGAAACCGGAAACATAGCCGACGATAAACTCCTTTCAATCGCCGTCGGGAATATCCATTACAGAAATGGAATGATACATCAAGTACAATTAAAAATTCTTCACGAAGGGTTCAACATAAACGAGCACGTCAATGATATAATGTTAATAAAAGTGATACCTCCTTTTGTGTTTTCAAAAACGGTTCAACCTCTCAAAATTTATCCATATCCAATCGACGATTATGAAACCCCCGTCGATGCCATTGTTGCCGGTTGGGGTTTAAACGAAGAAAGTTGGAAAAGAACCACTCCTACGGCAACACCTGAAATGCGTTTCGCAGAAGTTAACACAATCCCTTTACCTTTTTGTAAAACAGTTTATTCGATGGCAAATGAAACATTTTCACCTTCAGATTCGCATATTTGTGTTTTTACAATGGTAGGAAGGGGAACTTGCACCGGAGATTCCGGAGGACCTTTGGTAACACCCGATGGACAAATTGGAATTTTATCGGTTGGCGGAAGTTGTGATAATACTATTCCTGAAATTTATACGCGAATTTCTAGTTATTATACTTGGATTAAAAAAGCTTTGGGTGATTTTAATCCTGTTTGTGAACATATCAAATCATTATTATAATAAATTTCACCAACTAACTTTAATGTTCAAAGAACAAAGATTATGAACCTAACTACTTTCAATCTACTCTCTTACTTAACTTAACATCAGTACTAACTACTGTTATTACTCTCTTTCTCTTCCCCAACGTGTTCATATGGTGGTGTTGGGAGATGGCCTCACAATTAGATCCATCTTCTGAAGTTTAGTCATCCGGCTCTGTTTTTCCTGCAACTTTACGGTTTCAACCCTTGTCTTGGCCTTCCGACTTACTTCATCCTCAATCAAACTAACACCGACTCAGGGCATAATAAGCCTTGGTAGCCTTGTCAATTCTGATCTCTTTAATGAAGTTGCCTATCTGGTGGATTTTCATGCTCAGATATTGATAACTGCTGATTTGGGTGAGAACTTGACCAAGCTAAGGCTAAGCACTCGAGTACAGCTTGTTACAATTCAACGCTGCGTTGACAACTACATCATCTACATATTCAGAGTCTTGCACACGATCGGTCTAAGGTTAAGCACGCTAATCACCGATGTTTCTGTTCTTATCTTGCATGTTTTCACTACTTCATCCATAAATGTACAAATAACAATGGGGATAAACTGTCCTTTTTCATCGCTGGATAATGAACCTAATGGCCTGCATTAGTTATGGGGGAGTCCCTTTTTTCTCTAATACTTTCCAGACCTCTTGCGTTGGTACCTCATCAAACGCGAAATTCCCTCTGTTTATCAGTTATATAAAAAAATGAGATATCAGGCCTCCTGCGTTCAAAGTTATGAACACGCGTCTACTAATGTAATACGGCTGAGCACGCCCGAGTAGTCGGACATACTTAACCAAATTCTTTATAAGAATCAATTCAGAAAATTTTTTTGGTTATAATGGTGTCATTTTTTTAACATAAATGGATAAAAAATTAAAAATCCTTTAAAATGAACCCAAACTCGACCTATTTATCTCCAACCGTTATCGAGATATCTTAATTTTTAGCAAAAAAAAATGACAATTATTTGACATTTGATAGTTTATAACCTAACTTTTTTACTTTTTAACGCAAACATATCGTGTTTGGTATCAAATGAACGCATTTTTGACTATTATTAAGACCATTTCAATATTTATTAAAAAATCGTTATATTTAATTTTGACATTTGACAGTTTCTAACCTAACTTTTTTATTTTTTAACTCAAATATATCGTATTTGGTATTAAATAAAAGCATTTTTGATTCTTATAAAGATCATTTTAATATTTATTAAAAAATCGTTACATTTAATTTTGATATTTGACAGTTTCTAACCTAACTTTTTTATTTTTTAACTCAAATATATCGTATTTGGTGTTATATAAAAGCATTTTTGATTCTTATTAAGATCATTTTAATATTTATTAAAAAATCGATATATTTAATTTTGACATTTGACATTTTCTAATCTAACTTTTTTTTTTTAATCAAAATATATCATGTTTGGTATCAAATTAAAGCATTTATAATTCTTATTAAGCTTAATAACATATTGGAATAAGAATATCTAGTGTTAGTGCTAGTTTTACACTAGCAATATCACTAGAACTAACAGAAGACCTAGAACTAGAATCATTCGGGTTTAGCCGTCTTATAAAATTGTTATTTTTTTAATATAAATGGATAGAAAGTTAAAAATCTTTTAAAATGAACCCAAACTCGACCTATTTATCTCCAACCGTTATCGAGATATCTTAATTTTTAGCAAAAAAATGGCGATCATTTGACATTTGACAGTTTATAACCTAACTTTTTATTTTTTAATGTAAACACAATCGTGTTTGGTGTCACATGAAAGCATTTTTGATTCTTACTAAGATCGTTTCAATATTTATAAAAAAAACGTTATATTTAATTTTGACATTTGACAGTTTCTAACCTAACTTTTTTATTTTTTAATGTAAACATATCATGTTTGGTATTAAATGAAAGCATTTTTGATTCTTATTAAAATCGTTTTAATATTTATCAAAAAAACGTTGTTTAATTTTGACATCTGACAGTTTCTAACCTAACTTTTTTATTTATTAATGTAAACACATCGTGTTTGGTATCAAATGAAAGCATTTTTGATTCTTATTAAGATCGTTTTAATGTTTATCAAAAAATTGTTATATTTAATTTTGACATTTGATAATTTCTAACCTAACTCTTTTATTTTTTACCCCAAATATATTATATTTGGTATCAAAATAAAGCATGCTTAATTTTTATTAAGACCGTTTTAGTATTTATCAAAAAAACGTTGTTTAATTTTGACATTTGACAGTTTCTAACCTAACTTTTTATTTTTTAACCCAAATATATCATATTTGGTATTAGAATAAAGTATTTTTGATTCTTATTAAGATCGCTTTAATATTTATAAAAAATCGTTATATTTAATTTTGATATTTGACAGTTTCTAACCTAACTTTTTTATTTTTTAACCTAAATATATCGTGTTTGGTATCAAATGAAAGCATTTTTGATTCTTATTAAGATCATTTTATTATTAATCAAGAAATCGTTATATTTAATTTTGATATTTGACAGTTTCTAAGATAACTTCTTTATTTTTTAACCCAAATATATCATATTTGGTATCAAATGAAAGCATTTTTGGTTCTTATTAAGCTTAATAGATACAATTAGCAACAACGCGAACGAAATTCCGCACAGTAGAACATGACGTAAGCATGCTTAGTTCAATTTTTGTTATACAATTGTTATTTTTAAGAATAATATAAAAAGTGGCATGATTAAAATGTAACGTAGAGGTTGTTTCCACCTACACAATCTTACACGATTCTATTCGTCTTCGGATTTGAATATGAAATGTGCGACTTATGTTGGCTTAATTGCCGCTGTCCGCAGCCACGACATTCCACATCGTCGACAGCATTGACATTTATCATCGTATTAATATTTATACGAGATCGGGGCACGTTAATTGGTAAAATGGCCGCACTTTGCGGTTAATTGCAAAACGCGTCCGCGAGTTCGGTTTTTTTTACACGTCGCGAATCAATTAAAATCGCTCCCGATTTCAATTAGGAGAATCGTCGTATATCTGTAACAAAAAGAGAAATATGTACGTACTTACGAAAGGAAAAGACGTGTTTGCTCGATCTTCTTAAATGGGTAATCCCACTGGTAACCGCTTTGCAACTGTAAAATCGACAAAAAGTAGATTTTAAAATAAAAAAAAATGGAAATTATTTAATTGATGAATTAAAGTTAGGATTGAGGTGGGTCTAAAAAAGGTTATTATCATCTGTCTAATAGGGTTCTTAACTCGGAGTTAAGTTCGGTCGTGCGTGAACAATAAATTCAACGACAATCGTATTAAAATTCCCGATCAAAATAGGCCCCGTTCGCGCACTTGAGCCCTTTCTTCATCCGCTCGCCGTTTCTTACACCTTGTTGTGGCCATTGTCGACCGTCGCCGTGGTTGTCCAGCTTTAATTTATCATTTATATTGTTAGGCCACCGCGGTTCGTTAGAGGGGATTATGTTTGTTAGAAACGATTAAAAAAACTTCTTTTCAATAATAAAAAGAAAATCTTCCCTTTTAATAACGCTTACTATTTCTAATTATATGTAATTAATTTATTTCATGAAAACGATATGATGTGGAAGGAAGTTATCGATCGGTGACCCCTCATGATGACAAATTGATTCGGCATAAAGGCCGGTTTTGCAAGAGTTTCCGCTGGTGAGCACCAAGAATGCCAATCCTTCCGAACACGGCCACTTAATTAACGCACAAAGGGCCGCGGTATAATTAATGGCTTCCACATAAATGGGTCGACGGTTGCTCTCTTAATAAACTCACCCCTAACAACTTTAAAATTCGAGCCTCAGACAGTTCTAGGTCTAATGTTAGTTCTAGTTTTAGTGCTAGTGCTAGTGCAATACTAGAAATAACTCTAGATCGAGAACTAAAAACATTCGGATTTAACCGCACGTCTTTCAAGACGGCTAGATACGGCACGATAGGTAAAAATTGTAATTTTTAAAACATCAAGAATTTAATAGGTAAATGGGTTTTCATCCATATTGGTATATTATATGTGTTTTTTTAAAAAATAAACAATGTTTATACTTCAATATATTATTTAAATTTATTAACTCTACCGGTTTCAGCCTAGACCATCATCAGGAGTCCATAAGGTTTTAAACGTTCATAAAATACAATTAAATTAAAGATAAAATTAAAAAATTAATAAATATAAAATGTTACTTTACCTCGTTGTATAAGGTTGAGGTTAGGAAACACATTCAATTATATTCAAATTTTGATATATCATTAATGGACTGTAAAATGAAATAGAGTGATGTATTGAAACTGATGTATATCGAAAGTTTTGAATTGAATGTAAATTTGAATTGAATTGAATTTACCTCAACTTCAAAAATTAATATCTCAAGAACTAAAAGATATTTTTAAAATCGGTCTTTTTCATTCGAAAGATCATAGTTTTCTTAATTATTTTCGAAAATTTTGATTAAATCGGTTGAAAAATCGATTTTTTGCGATTTTTATAAAAA